AAAAATGAAGGTTATATTCGTTATCAGGGCATCGGATTACCCCTGTAGGCGAAGTTTTATCGAAAATTGAAATTTTGAGTTTTTGGGGGTGTAATAGTAGAATAGTACCGAAATTCTGATTTCTTTCGTTGTGCTTTGAAAATAAAATGATCCGTTTCTTCAGTGGCACTGCATGCATAAATAGTATATTCTCTTTACCAAGCTTTACCGTGGTCATTAGTGGAGGGCGGTAATACATCCGAATCTACTGATCGTATGTTCCATCCAAGGAAAAACCAATTCGTGCAGATACAGTAAAACTGTTCACAAGATCTTCACTGCAGTGTTAGCCATAAAGCAAACTGATCATTCTTCATTCATGTAACTGTACAGGGAGGTATCCATTCACACAACATCCATCCATCTGACGATTTTTTACAGTCTTTTCATGTCGAACATCCGTCGAATATATATATATATATATTCGACGGATGTTATATATATATATGTATGCATGCAACAAGAGTTTTTTAACATTAAAGAGCGAATTCTGCCTTTCTTTAGTGCAAGAATAACAGAACACGAAGTGCATCAAAGCATCTAAGACTGGTTAAAAAAAACACATCACATCTATTCAGTCAAAGAATTGCTGATAACAAAGGAGAAGCAATGTAGTAGGTCAATCCCTCATTACAAAAATACATTACGGAGCGGAAGATGTAGCAAGAACAGCGAAAATGCTCTGAACTTGCTGAAGAAAGTAAAAAAGGAAGTCTGAGGAGAAAATCGCCGGCAGCAGAGGCCGCCCGTAATTTGCAACGGAGCGAGATGTCATATTGGAGCAACTAGTCATCCGCATCGGCAGAACGGACAGGTGCCTGTCACTTTCCTCCAAAATATCGCTGTCACTTGCTGATTCGTGATTGTTTAGGTTTTTAATACTTATTCTAGCGACAAACAATAGCTAGCAGATCTTACGGCTAAGTATTTTGACTCACACCAAATTGTAACTAGCTACTACGTTTTCCTTTCTTTAATATTAATTATTTCCACTGACCAGTACCTATTCTGTATTTTTTCGAAAGAGTTTTGAAGTTGACTCGATTTTTCTGTGTCTACTGGGGGTTATGACAGGAAAATATTCAGAAAATGATGACAAAGGCAGTCTATGTCAGAAAATCAGCTCTTAAAATAGATCTGGAAAGCTCCATAGTCAAAAATGTGGTCGGATTTATGCACCTTATCAGTAGTTAGGCAGAAAAACTCTTGTAAGGTTTCCACTTTGGTTTCACGGTCTTCATTGTTATTGTCTTCGTTTTCTTTCTTTTTTTTTTTGAATAGCGCCTTCTATCTTTCAGTTCGACTCTGAACATATTTGTACTGCTCCTGCGATTGTTCCTTGTCAGAAAAACCTGGTTTTTCATACTATCATATAAGGACCTTTTTATTTTTACAAGAAAAGCCCTTCCATTGTGAAAGATCAATGTTTAGTGGACACTCAAACACCGATTGGTGAGAAAAAAAAACCGTATTTTTCACGACAAAATACTTTGTAAACAAGAAAATGTAGACGAAAATTAGATGAAAAATTGAAGTGGGCCATTGCCATGCCAACTGTTGCGGAATAAGCTCATTCAAGCCTCAGACCCAAAGGTAGTTTCTTTGCCAGCACAGTATCGTACTGAACCGTTAGTTCGTTCGTTTTCTGTGCGGCCGAACTTTCATCTATCTCATAGCCAATTTGAATAACCATAATGGAGCTTTCCGGAAGGATTGAATTACTTTCTTAAGAGTAGACTGCCCTGAAACGTGGTATTGACTGAGCATGGCTTCAAATGGATCCGGTATTTGTGGTCAATGTAGAGTGCATGGCGCATTTCAGGGTGATTGATCCAGGCCCTTTCACTGTGAAAGTTTTGAAATATGCTGTTTCACAATGAATTCTGGTGAATGTAGTGTGTTCAGCCCATCGCCTTTGTCGTCGTTCAGTCGGGCAGCGTCGAAACAACAAAGCTGACGCAGGTCTCGCTCGAATCTTCCTTGTATCGCTTTGTAGTTGACCGATGAAGCAGAATTCTTGCGCTATATTTGTCTTGTTTCCTTCTTCAAGTATCTATTACCTACTTCTGTTCTGTTGTGCACTATCTAGAGCTTTTAAGCCAATACAAGCACTTTGCTATAGCCACCTCCGGCTACACGAAATGCTTTCATGATCGGGAAAAGTTTCACGATTATTTCGAGAGCCCTTTTCGAATCAAAAAGCAAAACTGTTGGAGAAAGTAGTGCGGTGGCGAGGCAAGCGAGAAATCTGCGGAATTCGTGAAATCTAAGAGTTCTCAAACGTACGGTTCACCATAATTTTAAAGTATCTAGTTTTATACAAATAATGGAAGTGAGTAGAATACGGAATACTCAAAACTGGCGAACAAAACGCGAATGTCAGCTTATATAGATAATTATAGAGCTTTAGAAAAAGATTAAAGTTAGGGAGTGGACGAGTGATGTAATGGCGAAAGCTGCATGGAAGGCTTATTTCGACGAGCTGTCCATGTGAATGTGCCATTGCGTCCAGCTAGCTACAGCAAGGTACCTGCGTGCAACGTGTTCGTCCTAGTGGGACGGCACAATCTCCACAGCCTCCCTCACATGAGAGCTCGTCCGCCTTCTGTGTGTACCCGCCAGTGACCCACATCACACCCTATCCACACCGTTTTTCGGCCCGACAGTGTCCCTTGTGCTATACTTGGGGGTCAAAACCTTACCCTATGGAGAAATCCCAGGAGCCACTTTGATCGTGAACCGTGCCTTTAAACACAGTGAAAGTGGGCGGAGAACTGGCTACAGTAAACAAAATATGTCCAAATTTGCCTTCCATTGTGAAGGTCTTGTATGAATCTTGTGTGTATGTATCTTGTGTGAAGGTGTAGCCGGTATTTGAGCTCTTGTTGCGCCCTACTCAGGCGGTTTTTCTGGCACAGCACCTTTTATGGCATAGTTGGTGGCCTCAGGTTCTTCCTGTCTAGAAATCTGGGAAGCGTTTTGGCCCTGTGTGCCTGACGCCATGTTCTTGTGCTACATATTCAGAATCAGTTCGAAATCAGAAAAAGTCGAGATTATAATATGAAAATTGGTGTTTAGATAATCGGCTCCGGAGCCAAACATCTGCTTTCATAGCATCTTTGAGCTGCGCCACATATTCAAAAAATAGCTTATGTTGTATAACTGTCTTTGAAGCTCTACTGTGCCATAGATCCAATAATTATTATTTTCTCTCCTCTCGATTGTTAGAACTTAAGCCAGAAGTAACCTAATTCTTGATTTTTATGCTTTAAGTATATTTGATGCATAAGTAATCTATATTTTGGGAATGGCTGGCCAAGTCCACGTCAATCACATTCGTGCGTGTCAGGTTGTATACGGCTTGTCGATTTGACCAAAAGCTTCCATCACCATGACTGAAAAATGCATGAAGGAGGTGTATACACATTCAAATTGGTGTGCCTACATCCATACCCATGCTGACTAAAGGGGGTTACGCCCGAGCATGAGTAGTAGTATTGGCGGAATTCATTCATCTCCTCCAGTTCGTTTTTCATCTAATCGATTTCTTTATCCTACTTCTCAGGGAGCTTTTAAACAAGACGTTANAAAAAAAATCGGCTATATCATTGTGGTTCCGAAAGGGCAGGGGTGGCGTAGTGCCAAGTGCGCATCAATGCCTGCATGGTCCACGGTTGAATCCCGGATTCTCGCTCAGGCCAACCAAGGCTTTCATCCCCCCGATGTCGTTTAACTAGTTTCGGAATCGTTTGTGTGAATAAGAGCACCGACTTGTGCATTGTCTGGTCATCTCAAGTCACAGAGTAGAGTGTTCAAAACGCCCTCAAATGTCTTCTTCTACTCCTGCCCACCTCCTGCTGACGCTAGCAAGTCGTTATTGACGAATTTCGTTCTAAAAAGGGCTAAGGGACTGTCAGGGCCTTAGATACTTCGACCAAATTGCGCCGTGACCCGAACCCGCCGAAACATTACGCTGTGCTTGACACTACTCTACTT